GGAACCATGAGGGCAGGAGGGGGAGACCCAGAAAGGACACGAGTCACTCACAGGCCTGGAACTGCTCCTTCCGCCAGTCTACAAAAGAACCAACATTTCATATCAGGGACGGGCAGGGACTAGACAGATCAGAACCTGGACTCTGAAACAAAATGTCCTGGAAGCTCTCAGTCACTTTGGGCAATTCTTGGGGAAGGCAGAGGACTAGGCACAGTATTTTTGGGTTCTCCCATAGCTATAGGAATGTGTTTGCTCCCACCAGGCCATGAAAAGGGGAAGAGAAGCCACCAGTGTCTGCCTAGTCACTGAATATGTGTGTTTCCTGCTTTGAACTTTCCTTTCTCTCATCTTAGAAACCCCTCCATTGTCTTTTTTTTTTTTTTTAAGTTTTTGCCATACAACATATGCACTTGCCATGACAGAGAGAGGAAAAGTGAGAACCCCCCACCTCCAGGGGAATGGCCATGCTGCAAACCCTATTCCTCCACTCTCCTCTTGGTATTTGGGCATGCCTGCAACACACACCCAGCATGATTTTCAAGTCGCCTGGTCCGGGACTTGAGTCAGAGTCAGTCATGGAGAATCCAGCATGTTCACCACCATGAGACCTTCTGGCCACTCCATTGCCTCTTTTTTTAAAAATTTTTTGGAGAAGTTTTTGCTATAGGGCACGTGTGCTCACCAGACAGACAGAGAGAGAGACACAGAGAGACAGAAAGGGGGAAATCACCCCCCAGGGGGATGGCTACGCCACAATCCCTTCTCCCATTCTCCTCTCACGATCTTGGGCAAGCACGCACATGCACCCAGCGTGAGTTTAAGCCACCGGGTCCGGGACTCGAACTGCAGTCGGCTACATGGGAGTCTAGCGACAGCCGTTATGCCAACTGCTGGTACCCCCTCCATTGCCTCTTAACCTGCAAGACTTATTAAGTGCTATAGAGAGAAAGGTTTTAAGCACATTCAGCCGGTGTATTTATTATTCGTATGCACGCGCGCACACACACACACACACACACAATGCTGCAGCTCTTGCATGAAAGCTAAACCATAAAGCTTAATACCCAGGGATTGAGAGGCTGGATACTGACCTCAGTGGAAAAGTCATTGCCCAGGTTTCACTGTCAAACTATTCTTCCTCACGTCCCCAGCCATGCCGTCATCCTGAAAGCTAGGTTTTGTTGAGAAATACTTGGAGAGATTCAAATTTTCAAGGCTTTTATTTACCTATGAATAACCAAACTTATAGATAGCTCAAAAGCAAGGAGAGAAAGAATATTTTATCTGACTGAGCTGAACCTGAAGGACAGTAAGCCCTGAGTGAAGAGAACTCAGGATATGGAATCAGAGAAATCTTGCCCAGTTAACAAGCAACGGGAAGGTTTCAAGGATAAAATCAGAGAAATCTTGCCCAGTTAACAAGCAATGGAGAGGTTTCGAGGATGGGAGAAAGGAAAGTTCAAAGCAAGAAACACACACATTCAAGGAGAAGGCAGACACTGGTGGCTTCTTTTCCCCTTTTCATGGCCTGGCGGGGGCAAAAACATCCCTAGAGATATGGGAGAAACCAAAATTACTACACCTAGTCATCTGCCTTCCCTGAGGATTGCCCAGAGATTGAAGCTTCCGGGACAAACCCAGCTATAGTAGGTGCCCAGAGATGTCTGTCTCAGGCCCCAGATTGTGTGACTATGTTACATGCATGGCAAGAAAGGCTACAAATGCAATTAATATTAAGGACTTCAAGATAAGAGATTGGGGACCAGAGGGCATAATGGTTACATCACTGGACTCCCATATGGCCAACCATGGTTTGAGTCCAGAACCCGGTAACTTGAAATTCACTCAGGAGGCATGTGTGTGCATGCCCAAAATCCCGAGAAGATAATGGAGGAGAAGGGGTTACATCATGGCCATCTCCCCTGGGGGATGATTTCTCACTTTCTGTCTCTCTGTCTCTCTCTGTCTTCAGCAAGTACATGCGCCCTACACCAAAAAAATCTCTAAAAGAAAAAAAAAATGATGAGGGATTGTCCTGGACCACCCAGATGAGCCCAACTGATCACACAAGCCTTTGAAGGGAGAGAACTTTCTTAGTGAGGTCAGAGAGTAGCTGTGGTCAGGGAAGCAGGGGCAGAGATGAGCTGTGCTGCTGGTTTTGAAGACGGAAGGGGAGGACCTGAAGTGATGAAGAGAAAAGCACAAGGAGCCCCTCCCTGTTATCCTAAGACCCTCTCTCTGTCTTAATCTCACTTTCTCTCTCTGCCAAGGACACATGAGGTCTGGCAATAAAAAAAAAAAAAAAGAAGAAGAAGGGACCAGGAGATGGTGTAATGGTTATGCTGCTGGACTCCCACACAGTCGACCGTGGTTCGAGTCCTGAACCCAGTGGCATAAAACTCACGCTGAGTGCGTGTGCGTGCATACTCAAATCCCGAGAGGAGAATGGAGGAGAAGCGATTGTGGTGTGGCCATCCCCCTAGAGAGGGTGATTTCTAGCTTTCTGTCTCTCTCTCTCTCTGCATCTCAGCGAGTGCACGTGCCCTATAGCAAAAATCTCTCTTTTTTTAAAAAAAGAAAAAGATACTAAAAAGAAAAGAAAGCCTTTAATGCAGCAGAGGAGAGAGATGGTAAAAGAAGACTATCTGATTCTCATTTTTTTATAAACAAACCCTTAAAAGAATTGATAAGACTTTCTCAGGTGGTTCTTTATGCATCTCCTCCTCAGACCCCCTCTCACTGTCTCTCATGGCCTATATCTCTGACGGTGAACAGAAGGTTCCAGAGCAGAGGAAACGCACATTACACGGGCTCAGGCGGCAAAGCTCCTGAACTCACCCAGTGTCAAAATCCTCTGGATAACCCTTCACTGTCTGTGGGTCCCCACTAACCTACTCCTGCCCTGACCAGTACTGGAATGGTTGAGGTGGTCTCATTATCAGAGGCAGACTCGGTTTAGCTGTTTACTTCAAAATGGCTAAAAAGTCAGGCTGACCAAGAGTTAAGGCTGCCGAGTCCCACACAGCCAAGGGCACTGTTCGAGTCCCAGACCTGGTAGCTGGTCACTGTGTGTAAGTGCCCGAAATCCTGAGAGAATGGAGAGGGGACTGTGGTGTGGCCATCCCCCCCGGGAAGTGCTTTCTCTCTGTGTCTCTCACTATCTCTCTCTGTTTCTCTCTGTCTCTGGCAAGTCTACGTGCCCTATAGCAAACTAAAAACAAAAGAAAAAGACAACAAAGAAAAAAGACTTAAAATGATTATAACTCTGGGTCAGCTCTAATAGAGCAGGAGTAATGTGAGACTCAAAGAAACCAGATCCTACATGGCACCACAGTTCAGATTCCCACTTTTGGGAACCAGCAGTTAGCGTAATGGCTATGTCGCTGGACTCCCACGGAGTTGACAACGGTTCGAGTCCCGGACCCAGTGGCTTAAAACTCACGCCGGGCGCGTGTGCGTGCGTGCCCAAGATCCTGAGAGGAGAATGGAGGAGAAGGGATTGCGGCGTGGCCATCCCCCCTGGGGGGTGATTTCTCGCTTTCTGTCTCTCTGTCTCTCTCTGTCTGTCTGGCGAGCGCATGCGCCCTATAGCGAAAATCTCTCTCAAAAAAACAAACAAATAAACAAACAAACAAACAAACAAAAAAACAGATTCCACACTTTGGTCAACCCATAACATGCTGGGCACACATGTAAGTGTCCAAAATTTGATAGGCAGGAGGACTGGGGAAAGGGCATGACCAGACCTGCAGAGGGTGCTCAGCTGGCTCTCTCTCTTTCTCTCACTCTCCCCCCCCCATACACATGAGCAAACTCTATCATGAATTAAGACAAATAAATAGGGCCAGCGTGACGCGGTGGTTAAGGCAACGTCCCCAGCCACACCGTCATCCTGAAAGCTAGGTTTTGTTGAGAATTGGAGAGATTCAAATTTCCAAGGCTTTTATTTACTTATGAATAACCAAACTTACAGATAGCTCAAAAGCATGGAGAGAAAGAATATTTCATCTGACAGCTGAAAATGAAGGACAGTAAGCCTGAGTTAAGAGAACTCAGGATACGGAATCAGAGAAATTTTGCCCAGTTAACAAGCCATTACTCTAACAGCTGGTCCCAAGGCACTCTTTACTACATGGCTGTTTGGTGGTTCAAGTCCTAGACCCAGCATCTTGAAAAACACGGTGGGCGTGTGGGTGTGTACCAAAATCATGAGAGGAGAATGGAAGAGAAGGAACTGCAGTGCAGCCAGTCACCCTGGGGGTGATTTCTTTCTTTCCTGCTTTCTTTCTCTTTCTCTCTCTGGCAACTGTATGCCCCCTACTGCAAAACTAAAAAAAAAAAAAAAAAAAAAAAAATTAAAAATTAAAAATAACTAAATGAAAGTCTTTACTAAAATCTCTCAACAATATATCAAGGAGTTGGTTACATTTCTTGCACCCAAATAACCTGCGAACCCTCCCAGCACTCCCCACTCTACTCAAACCACTCTGGCTGTGCCCTGCGGTCTCTCTTCCAACACAGCAGGACACCCAGCCTCTGCAAAGCTGGTCCCAGGCACTCTGCGTTCCGCGTCCTCCCCTGCCCTCCTCCCGCCTAGTCTTTTCTCCCCTGACTTGCTCTCCGTCCTTTCTCTGGTCACTAATTTTAATATCTTTACACATTTCCCCAAATAAACACAATCAAGTGCTGAGCATTCAGGAAAAAATAGAATTCTCCTAAAATGACAGAAAACAATTGAAAAAAAAAAATTACAAACTCACCCCAGGACCATAAATGTACTGAAAGCTTAGAACCCTAGATTCTGAACACCTGCTCTACAACTACTGACTCCTCAGCAACCAGGGAAGCTTAGAGGAAGACACTCAACTCGAACAGAAAGTCAGAGCTTGAAAAAACAGACAGAAGACCAATATCCCAGAGGACCAGGAAGAAATAAAAAAATCAAAGCTAGATACATAAGAGAGAGAACTTTCAGGGTAGGTAAGAACCAGAACTGAGGGCCCCTGCGGGAAGCCCTGCATCCTAAGCCCTGGAATGTAATTTCTAGAACTTTCTGGGACCAGCCACTCCTGAGCACAGTCATCACCCTCACACTGAACTCCCCTCACAGCGGGACTCTCATGTCACTGCACCAACAAGAAGTAGCACTTAGGGCCAGCGGGTGGCGTGGTGGTTAAGGTAGGTGGATCCCACAGGGTCAACTGTGTAGTTCGAGACCTTGACCTGGTGGCTTGAAAAACACACTGGGTGTGTGTGAGTGCCTGCCAAAATCCTGAGAAGAGAATGGAGAAGGGACCGCAATGTAGCCACGCCCCCATGGGGGTGCTTTCTCAATTTCCTTCTCCCCCTCTCTCTCTCTGTCTCCAGTGAGTGCATGTGTCCAACAGCAAAAATGTTTAAAAAACAAAGACATAGCAGTTGAACAAGGTGTTTTAGGAGAACGTTGCTAACTCTAACAGTGACTTCCCGAGGAAGAGCCCCGAGCAGAGGCAGAGCTGTGCTCCCTGCAGTCTCTGACGGAGGACAGCGAGGACCTGAGCCATCCTAGTGCAGAGACCCTGAGGGAGAAGAGCAGGGCCACGGCGGGTAGGGAAGGCCAGAGGAGACTCAGTCACTTACCCCCGTACAGCTGGGCCTTCCTCCAGGCTGAAAGGGAACACAGCTGGTGAGACCTCGGCCAGGACAAGCCCCGCAGAGTGACTCTTGGCAAGTCACGTGGCTGCTCTGGGCCTCAAACACCTGAACAATTCTATTCTATCTACATTCGATTTTGCTGCTAAGAATCAAACCTTAAACTATGTGTGAAAATAGTTTAGGCAATAAAATATA